GCTGATTTTTGCCGGGTCTGGTTGTACACCGTTGGCGTCTACTAAATGGCCAAGCACTGTGATTTGATGGCGTCCAAAGTGACATTTGGACGAGTTGAGCTGCAGGCCAGCGCGACGGAAGATTCCCAGGATGGCTGAGAGGCGCTCTATGTGAGTTTCAAACGTTGGTGAAAAGACGATGACGTCGTCCAAGTAGCACAAACAGGTGGACCATTTGAATCCTCTGAGCAGGGAGTCCATCATTCGTTCGAAGGTGGCTGGAGCGTTACAAAGGCCGAAGGGCATGACCTTGAACTGATATAGGCCATCGGGGGTGATGAATGCCGTCTTTTCACGGTCCATTTCATCTACCTCTATCTGCCAGTAGCCGGAACGAAGGTCTATGGAGGAAAAATAGTGGGACCCATAGAGGCAATCAAGCGCATCATCTATTCGTGGCAGAGGGTAGACGTCTTTTTTGGTAATTTTGTTTAGGTGTCGATAATCCACACAGAAACGCCATGCACCGTCTTTCTTGCGGACTAGCACTACAGGAGAAGCCCAAGGACTGCAAGATGGCTCAATGATGTCCTTGGCGAGCATTTTGTCGACCTCACTTTGGATGATGTGACGCTCGGCCGCCGACACCCGATATGGGCGCCTATGAATAGGATGCTCATTACCAGTGTTTATGCGGTGGCTCATACCGGTAGCTTTCCCCAACGGACGGCCGCTGATGTCAAATACGTCGATGTAGGACAGCAGAACCCGGTGGAGCTCATCAGTCTGCTGCGGTGTTAAGTTGGAAGCGATCATCGAGGTAATAGCGCTGTCGGAGCAAGTGGCAGACTGATGTTGAGCGTGGGGTTCAGAAGGGGCGGCCATCGCGAAAACATCTACCGCATTGTCTTCTAAGGTGCAGAGCAACTCTAAAGACATCCCTTGCGGCAACACTTGAGGTGTCAAGCTAAAGTTGACAACTGGGAGGCACGTAGAATTTCCTGCGACGGACAGAATGGTGTGCGGTAATGTAATGCCACGGCTTATGAGAACATCGGTAATAGGGGTCAGAACATAGTCACCGTCGGGAACTGGTGGTATTGAGACGAGCTCTATGTAGGTCAGTGTCTGTGGAGGGAGGCGCGCGTGTCCCGTTGTGCAGAGGCGACTCGGCCGTTGTGTAAGAGGTTCTGTTGCGGGCAAGTGTAGACGGAGCGTACTGGTTGAACAGTCTATGAGGGCAGAATGCGCGGATAGGAAGTCGAGGCCTAAGATTACGTCGTGGGGGCATTTATCAAGGACGGTGAAGAGAACAACTGTGTGTCGATCCGCAATGCTCACACGAGCGGAGCACATTCCAACGATCGATGCTATGCCACCATCCGCAACACGGACGAACTGGGTGGTCGCAGGTGTGAGAACCTTCTTGAGCTTGCGGCGAAAATCACTCGTCATCACGGAAAGTTGGGCGCCGGTGTCGTTGAGCGCGGGAAGCGTCACGAATGTTGTTGCGGGCACTGGGTTGACAGGTCGGGCAGAAGGGGGAGCGACCGGAGAGGATGTAGCCGAGTCTTGGGTGGTCATGTTGTAAGCCGCGAGTGAGCGTCCACTTCGGAGTTCCGTGGCGAGGACGGGGATCGCACAACTCCACCAAATATGTTACGTGAAGGAGACTGACTCAGAGGGGTAGTCACCGATGTATTTACAGACGGTTCGGCGAGCAGCGCCAGCCACACAGATTAGCTCGTGCCAGTCTATCTGCTTCGTCTTCTTCAGCTCCATGCACTGGCACGTAGCAATATAGTATCCTGTAGTCTCGTTGCCGTCCTTTGTGTTAGTGCACCAGATAAAAAATGACTTTCATGTTGCGTGAAAATTCTAAATAAATTTAGAGATGTTTCTTTAGTTCGGAGTACTGCCAAAGGTGGCTCTCGAGCCTCCCCATACACTAAAGCACTGGAAGTTGACCGTGGTAAACCCAGACATACCCTCAAGCTCCTTGCCAATAACAAGTGAAGTCTCCTTTCGGTGGAGGCTGGGAGTCCGTGCAGCAGAGGCAGTGAGTAAGTTACGATGGGGCGTATCCAGGCAACATGTAGGGCTAATAACGACTCTGTAGTACCACCCCATTTGGCCCCGCAGAGATGCCGGAGGATTCGAATGGCCTGATTCACTTTTTGTTCCAGGGACTGGACATGAGGCGACCATGGTAGTCTCCGGTCTAAAATTACTCCCAAGAATTTATGAGTTTTAACCATTTGAATAGGCTGATTTTGCAGAATAATCTGGAAATTTCCAGGTCTTTTTAATGTAAACGGAAGTATGGCTGTTTTAGCCAGACTCAGTGCCATACCTCTTTTTTTTAGAAAACGGTCTACATAATCCAATCCTTCTTGTAGAGTTTGTTGTACATCCAAAAACGATGGACCAGACGTCCATATACTTATATCATCAGCATATACTGAACATCTGATGTTAGGTGGAAGATTATACGGGAGCTGCGCCATGACTGCATTAAAGAGAGTAGGGCTTAGCACGCTGCCCTGTGGCACTCCTTGGTTGACGACATGTTCTGACGTTGGGCCCTCCTGCGTAACTACAAAAATTTTCCGGTGCTTCAGGAAGTCAGCGATCCAACGCAGTATCTTGCCCTTGAATCCCTGTAACGCCAGGCCTTACAGAACGTGAACGTGACTCACTGTGTCGTATGCTCGGTGGACATCAAGGAATACAGCGACAGTGATGTTTCCTTGCATTCGTTGGTTTTCCACATCTGTGACCAAATCCAGAATGCAGTCCATTGTGCATCTACCTCTTCTGAAGCCGGCTATGCTTTCTGGTAGTAGTTGTTTTATGTCTTGCCACCATAAAATTCGTTCATTGATCATTTTTTCCATCACTTTTGAAAAACAACTTGTCAAACTAACCGGCCTAAACGAGTCCAACTGCATAGGGCTCTTACCTGGCTTTAGCAACTGTACTACTTTAGATATCTTTCAACTTTCCGGAACTTTTTCTTCCTGCCAACTTTTATTATAGATGTCCAACAGGTGTAATTTTCTTTTTTTGCACAAATTAGCAAGAGCAGCGTATGTAACTCTATCTGTTCCTTGTGAACTTGTTCGTTTTACTGAAGACAGCACATATTGGAGCTCCTCTGGTGTGAAGCTGTCATCCAGATCTGATGAACTGATCGCAGAGAACTTTGTTACAACCGCCGAAGCTGATTCTGCTGAGGATTTATATTCGCTAGTTTGGGCGGTCTCTCCATTTCTCAGTATAAGATCGCAAAATTCTTCGGCAATCACACGTTCGCTAACTCCTTGAGACAGCGCTAGAGCCTGTAGTGGTCTCGAGTGGACTACTGGCTACTGGAGGGCGCGTACCATGTTCCACAGTTGAGGCGCCGAGGTAAATGGAGAAAGTGAGGCACATAAATCATGCCACCTTTTGGTTGAAAGCTTCTGCAGTTGGTTATGCATTGCAGAATGTACTTTCTGTGCAACCTTGAAATCTTCTAAATTACCCGACCTGCGATATCTTCTTTCAGATCGGCGTCGTATTGCCCGAAGCCTCTCATACTCAGCGTCAACACCCGAATACCCATCTGGAATGGGTACTGCACGAGTTGCTTTTGTTAGCAAATTTTTTATCTTCGATGCATACGTTTCTGCGTCAGAACAAGGTTCAAGATTTTGTCTCTGTAGTTCTCAAAAGATTGCCCAATTTGTAATTCTTGTTGTGCGGTTATTTCTCGTTTTCTTCAACTTTGGGTTATATATGAATACTGGCAAGTGGTCACTTCCTCTTGTATCAGCGTCTGCAGTCTAGTCTGCTCCAGCCGCTAATTCAGAGGAGCACACAGTGACGTCTAGTACGCTGCAGTAGTTATGCCGCCGTAGAAACGTCGGAAAACCATCATTTAGTATAGTGTAACCATAATCTTCGCATATTTTTACTATAGCAGATCCCCTTACACTACAACGCTACAATTCATGGTGCGCGTTAAAATCACCACATATAATTATGGGATTATGGTCAGATCTACACACTGCAGCCAACTCTGCGTATGAAACGTTTGCTTGAGTGTGCACGTAAAACACTAACTACAGTTAAAGTAACGTTACCAAACTTCACCTTGCATCTAACAAATTCCGGCGCTTCTGTTTTTGAAGTAGCCACAAGTGTCGACGGAATATCGCGTCTCACACACAACATCACTCTGCTTTTTGCAGCAGGACGTTCGGCTTGGTACACCACATAATTGCACAAGCGAAAGTTAGTGGATACTCTTGTTTCGGAAATACACAAAATCGGAAACCCGTGCTGAGCGACAAATTTCCGAAAATTTCCACTCGTATTCTGCAAACCGTTGCAGTTCCACTGGAATATTGCACTTCTTTCGTACCAGTTAGATAGTCCGGTAGCCATGATTACGACAAGAGAAGAAGCCGCTGATGTAAATAATAATAAATAAAGATGCTCAACATCTAGCTGCAATTTCACTTCTGGTAAAGAACCTGCTTGTGGCAGGGATCGTAGAATTGCTTTAAAAGCCGCAAAGATTATTGGCAAAATGACTTGCTCGTTTCCGGCTGTCTCCACCAAGATCGCATTTCTTGAAGAATTTTTCCTCAGCAAGCTGCTGTGACCCTTCCCTTTGGTAGTCATTGGCTCCTTGGCTGTGTCTTGCCCCGCAGAAAGTTCCACTTCAGCATGTTCCTGGGCCCGGACTCCTTTGCCAACGCGATGTTTTGGTGCTGAGCGCTTCAATACTTCCGAGTAAGAGTCGTGGCGCCACTGTTTTGCATTTCTTTGTGCCGCAGGAACATCGTCGACTATATCCGCATTGGGTGCTGTACCTCTTTGTATCTTATGGTACCCTTTTACAATTCTCTCTCTTTGTGCCGCTGATGCCAAATGGTTTCGAGAGCAGCCTGAGAACGACGCCTCTTTTCTGTTTTCATTATTTCCTTTACTTCCGCGACCTCTTACGTGTTCTACACTAAACTATGATTCAGCTACCTTCGGGCGGCTGCGGCGGAGGCGGTGCAGAGCCAGCGGTTCCCGCCGCCGGTGTTCGACGTGCTCAACCTGGTGCCGGCGGGCAGCGTGGCGCGCTGGCGCTCCGTGGGCAACGTGACGCGTGGTTCGGCGCAGCTTGACTCGGTTCTCTGGCCCTCGGGCCCCGGTCAGCAGCCCACGCTGACGGGACCCCGAGCCTGGGGCCGACAGCGGTTCCGCGTGGTCACCGCCTACGCGGCGCCTTTCGTCATGGCGGCCACCCGCATCGGGAACGGCAGCTGCCTCAGTGGAGTACCCTGTCTACAAGTATGTATGTATTTAGACTTGGTCATTGAATGATTCCAGGATAGCTTGCACATGACGTCATGGTCACGGCTCCGTAACATATTGGTTCAACAACACGCATGGACTTGATGACGTAGAGGCAGCATAGTCACGCTGCATATGATGGATTTATATGTGAAGTTATTGTCCCGAAGCCACCATATTATCGTGAGAGACGCCGTAGTGAAGGGCTCCAGGAAATTTCTACCCCCCGAGGTTCCTTAACGTGCACCCGAATCTGAACACACGGGCCAACCAAGTTTTCGCCTCCATCGAAAATAATCACTCCCCACCTTACCTGCCTTCAGAACATAACGATGTGGGCAGAATTTTTTCGGCGTCGGTCCATCATTAACGAAAGAAGTTACAAGTGATATAACGATAACATCAAAGCGTGCTGTCAGAAGCCTTGAATGTACCATGTGATGCACAAACATGATGGTTTCAGTGATGTAAGTGTAAGGCCATCTATAGATAAACAGTTCCATACCAGGAGCATGCGTCGCATGTTGCAGACAGCTACACGCGTACAACTTGGATGGAAGGTGCGCTTACGAACATACTAGCGCATAGTGAACGTTTTCCATGCTGTCTGCACTACGAGCCACAAATCGCACCCTTAGGTCTCTTTGAAGCACTTCGAGATGTGCATGTTCTTGTTTACTTTACACTCCAAAAATAGATCTTAAAAATGGCGTAAAATAGATGGTTATGATTCAGATGAAGAGTTCTCTTGTATATATATATGATATTCGAGCCTAATTTTACCTAATAAAGAAGCCAGTAACCAGCAATGATAATCAATGAAAATTAATTGCAAAAGTAGAGCGAACATGCAAATCGTCTTCCAGTAGTCAACAGCACGTGGCCGAGCTGTGTCACCAAAGCAGAAACGCAACGCTCAGCGTGCAGAATCGAGCACATACCTCCACACGGAACTCACTGCGCGTCGCATTCTTGTTCGGTGCATAAAAAAATGGCCGTGTATCTGCATGTTCGACTGCAAATGTCGTAGACAGACGGCAGTTTTCTGTCTGGAGAAATTGAATAGAATAAAACATTTATTTAATCTTTTGCGCGAGAGAAATCGGTCAATGGAATTCTGAAGGCACTGCGTGAAACATGAGTGCCATATGGCGGTAGTCTCAGGAAACTAAAGGATGGCATCCGTAAAAGCAAGCGCGCAGCGTGCGCCCACAATCTTTGAGGCACAATCTTCGAGGCCACAACCAAGAAAGTTGTTCTTCGTTGATGCTTTCATATTGGCGGACCATCGTATATCGCAGATTGTAGTAGTATTCACCCACAAAAAGTGAGTAAGCCTCACTACAGTGTGCCACTTATGCCCCCGCGTTGCTACTCATTACTCACAATTCCCCACTATGCCCACTACTCTACTCCCACTATTCACGATTATGCCCACTACTCTACTGCCACTATTCAGCACTACGCCCATTACTCTACTTCCACTATTCACCACTATGCCCAATACCCTACTCCCTCAATTCACAACTACGCCCACCACTTTACTAACAATATTCACCACAACGCTCACTACTTTACTTCCGCTATTCACCACTACGCCACTACACTATTCCTACTAATCACCACTACGACCACTACAATACTACCTTTGATCACAACTACGTCCGTTACTTTACTACCAATACAACAATGGCCACTACGGAACTCCCACTATTTACCACTGCGCCCACTACTCTACTCTCCCTATGCACAACAACGCCCACTACTCTACTTCCCCTACTCACCACTACGCCCACTACTTTACTACCAATATTCATCACTACGCCCTCAACTCTACTCCGACTATTCACCACTACACCCACTACACTACTCCCACTATTCACCACTACGCCCACTACTCTACTCCCAATATTCACCGTTACGCCCACTAATCTGCTCCCACAATTCAACAGACGCCCACTACTCTGCTTGCACTACTCACTACTACGCCGACTACTCTACTCCCACTATTCACAACTGCACCCACTTTTTTACTACCATTTTCACCACTACGCCCACTACATTACTACCAATATTCACCACTACGCCCACTAATGTACTCCCACCATTCACTGCTATGCCCACTACTCTACTCCCACTATTCCCCGCTAGACCCACTACTCTACTTCCACTATTCATCAATACACCCTGTACTTTACTACCAATATTACGTACTACTCCCACTACATTACTACCAATATTCACCACTCCACCTACTACTCTACTCCCACCATTCACCGCTATGCCCACTAATCTACTACCACTAGTCACACTATACCCACTGCATTACTACCAATATTCACCATTACGCCCACTACAATACTCCTACTAATCACCACTATGCCCCCTAAACTACTCCTACTAATCACCACTATGCCCACTACACAACTCCCACAATTCACCACAACGCCCACTGCTTTACTCCCACTATTCGTCACTGTGCCCACTAGACTACCCCACTACTCACCACTACGCCCCACTACTTTACTACGACTGTTCGCAGCTATGCCCACTACTTTAATAATATTCACAACTACGCCCACTACGCTACTCCCACTTTTCACCACTAAGCCCACTACTCTGCTCTCCCTATTCACCGCTACGCCCACTACACTGCTCCCACTATTCACAACTACGCCCACTACTTTACTACTGCTCTTCACCACTAAGCCCCCTACTTTACTGCCAATATTCAAAACTACGCCCACTACAACAACAAACAATAGATTGTTAGACTATAGGACGTCTGCGAGGGACAATTCGTTCAAATCTTTCATTACACTGCAGGGAGTGTTGCTGCGCACCCTCGCTATCAGAGACTAGGGGGCTCGCAAGAATGAAAGAAAAAATTGCACGAGAAATAGAGGAAGCATATATCATTATTAGATTAGGTGTCACATGCGTGGCGATGTCCTCAATCAAGGTACATGCCACCGAGATAGAATACTTGAGCGCTTGCCACTAAAAGGATTTTTTTCCGCTAATATGACTTGTGAGTTTGTTGACCTGTATATATATGTGTGTACAATTTTTCGAATAAATTCAGTTGATAGTTGCGCCTGTCCGTTTCTCGTGTTTTTTTCGTGCTACAAGCTACATTAAGAATGAACCAACTCGCCCAACAAGTCACTCTATGCCCACTACCCTACTCCCACTATTCACCACTACATCCGCTCCTTTTGCTCCCACTAATCACAACTACGGCCACTACTCATCATTACGCCCACTACTCTACTCTAACTATGCACAAATATACACACTACTTTACTACCAATATTCACCCCTATGCCCACTACTTCCACAACTCTACTCCTACTATTGACCACTACGCCCACTACTTTACTGCCAATATTCATCACTACTCCCACTATTCCACTCCCATTATTCACCACTACGCACATACTCTACTCCCAATATTTGCCACTACGCCCACTACTCTACTTCCCCTATTTATCACTACGCCCACTAGTCACCACTACTCGGCTCCCACTATTCACCACTGCGCCCAACTATTCCCACTATTCATAACTACGCCCCCTACTTTACTACCACTATTTATCACTACACCCACTATACTACTCCCACTATTCACCATTACGCGCACCCACTACTCTGCTTCCAGTATTCACAACTACGCCCACTACGGGTCCCACCACTCCACCCACTACGGCCACCAGCTTTGTGCCACGTCATTCCAATACCATTACACTTCACTCAACCCCATTACACGCGATCAGCATCGCTGTTTAACCAGTGGCCAAGCAGAGCTCGTTGAAGTTTTGTTTATGTATGCTTCACTGTACTGCTGGATTTCAATACTCTTTCATATGCTTTGAAACAAACATTAATTTTATTTTTTGGCAGTAGCTAGAGACAGGCGCAGGTTTGTGTCTCACTCTATTCGCAGCTACTTCATTGCCCGGATGGTAACTTCGTTTGCGATCCAAGCTGTCACGACGTGGTGAAACTTGGCTGTATTGCATCTGATTGGGCGTGTCATTTACGAATGCGTATTCATGTCCCATAAGAAAGGCCAGCAGTGCATCATGCCACGCTTGCGGCTGTGACGAGACGCTTGTTAACATTTCATGCCTTTGCCCGTTATATCAGGCTCGACGACATAGTATGGAAGCCAAGCTCCGTCGCCTAGATTCAAGACCACTTGAAGAAAAGAAGACCCTGGGACTTCGGCAGACGCTCGCGCATACGCGCAAGGCCACGGAAGCTCTCTTGTGTTTCTCGAAAACCAACCGACTTCTTGAGTGCTTCTGAACGAACATCGCAAGAGCGTGCTGTGTCGTCTCAAGCTATTAACCCATCTCCTTCTTACTATTCTTTTTCTCTATCTCTGCAGTCCTTACTATCATTCCCCTTCATCGCCCCCCCCCTAGTGTCGGGTAGCCAACCAAGCCACAACTTGGTTAACCTCTCTGCCTTTCTTCTCCATTATTTTCTCTTTCTCTTACAGGATGGAAGAAAACGAAGGATGATCTGGCAGGGCTAATTTGGCGCGTGCCCTTTCGCGTATGCACTTGATGAGTGTCGTCATTTCGTCGGCTCCTAATATCTCAGCATGAACTCGAACTTCCCACAGAAGTGCCAACCTCCGGAGAAGTATCAGCATTCCAGACCTCGCCTCAAGCTGTGTTTTGAAAAAGAAATAATAATCGCACAATGAATCAGGCTTTTTTATCTTGATGAAGTTTCCTAGTTGGAAATGGTTCAGATTTAGAAGACTAAAAAGAGCCTTTTGCTTCCGGCGCTAGTCTGTAGAAGAAGAACTGAAACGATGTCTTCGGCAAGGGGCGTTTATGTTTTGGTGTGTTAACCGAACTTTGCCAAATGCGTCATATGTGCTTAAATATATGCTGAAATAAATCCCCCTCTTCCCCATGGCTACTCCAGCAAAGCAGGCAGTCCTTGTTCGCGAGCGAGTTTTTGTTGAGGTAAGTTCATCGAAAGACCGCTATCGAGCGCAGTGAGAACACTCTTCTCTTCCATCAGAATCGTCAATAATTCTCGCTAACCTTAGTACACACTGAACTGACCCATATATCCACACATATGGACTCTTTCCGACAGACAGAGTGCTTTGTTGCAGGTTTTCACCGCTGACCCGGAACAACTGGCAGCTCTGTTCGCACACTACCATCAGACACGCGGCGCGGCCAGACACCCGCTGTACAACGTTACCTGCTGCGCGGGAATCGCCATGGACTTGCTCACCTCCCTCGCCCGTGACCTGGCATTCGACTTCGACCTGTACCTGGTCGCCGACGGCAGCTTCGGCACCGACCGCGGCGGCAAGTGGGGAGGCATCACTGCCGACCTAATATCCGGTAAGTCACTGCTATTCAAATTGAATGCCTGACACGTGTTGAACGTTCGCAAATCTATATCAGCCTCGATGAAATGTATTGTCTTGCTATCAGCAAGCAGGCCATCTCGTGACACATTACAGATGCTATACTATGTGCCAGCTTGTGATTTAGCAGATATAATACGCGTAGTAATTAAGTGGCAGAATCAAGCACATGAAAGGCTTGTAGCACCGGATTGCTTAAAGTGTATATAACTGTATACGACTGAAAAAAGTGATTTGAATAGATAAAAACGAATGTCTAAAAGTAATAACACGAATGATAACTTGCAGCTGATGCAACCTTAGTACCAGATGCGTCATGACTAGAGGCTAAACTTTTAGACAAAAATAGGTAGGGGAAACATGTTTTAGGCTTCCCACCCCTTAAATGTGGGTATAACAGATTTTTACATAGATCAAATTTCAATAAACAATTTACGAGCGTGGTCTGTGTCTACAACACCAGAGCAAAACATTTTGTTGTTTATGGTGGCACAAAGGCGCCAACAGGAGAACGTCACTGTGAAATTGTTTTTTTACTGCACAGTTCCTGGAACATTGTCTTACCTTTTCAATTGATTGATTGATATGTGGGGTTTAACGTCCCAAAACCACTATATGATTATGAGAGACGCCGTAGTGGAGGACTCCGGAAATTTCAACCACCTGGGATTCTTTAACGTGCACCCAAATCTGAGCACACGGGCCCTACAACATTTCCGCCTCCATCGGAAATGCAGCCGCCGCAGCTGGGATTCGAACCCGCGACCTGCGGGTCAGCAGCCGAGCACCTTAGCCACTAGACCACCACGGCGAGGCCTTTTCCATTGCGGCCTTATGAGTTAAGTCCACTGTCGCATCAACGCACTAATGGTTCTTTTTTTTTTGTGCATGGATGAAAAGAGCAGCACAGGAGCAGATAGCCACAACCAGGCGGCTGAAATACGATAAGACAATGATGCCTATAATTAGCCGAGTCGTATCACAAGATAAATTGCTCGCATGTTTATAAAAAAAGAAAGCAGCCGTGTGCACGTCACATTTTATTTTCCTTTCTTCTTCACTCCTTTTTCCCGACGGCTCTCCACGGTTGCTCATTTGCCAACCATCGCACCGTGTCACGTGGCCACGTAGGGGCTGGCGCGTCCCATTTCACTACTGGTAGAAGTTGTTTTAAACACGATAGTGTTTTTTGGGATACTTAACCCAGGAATTTCGATTTGTCTGTCTGTCTGTTCGTCGGTATGTCAATCGAAACGACCAAGCTCCCAGGCTAAATTTCAACCACTTTGGTATTTGCGTTCATACTTGTGTACATTGTCGATTGAACAGCAAATGCTACGCAAATGTGAAGCGCAATATCGACACGTAAGTGTTTGGTAGTGTGTTTATAATAGAAAGTGGACAGATGCGTAATCTTAAAGATGGTTTTGTTTTTTACGCTGCGCCATCAATGCGATGTTATGAACGAACAGGCGGGCATTTTCCTACGCTTTGCTAAGGCGATGCGATGCTGCCACCTACCTGTGGCTCTGCGTTCTACAGATCATTTTGTTGGGCAAGATTACTGTCAGATGGCACTCACGTCTCACGAAGCGCCTCCAGGATCCCATTTACCGATCTTCTCGTGCAGAACATCAGATAAACGCTTCATTCGCTCTCTCTAGACAGAAGACTTTCGTCTTTCGATGACGTTTGCAGTGAAACACGCAGATACGCGACCAATTTTTTGGTAGTATAACTAGAAAACTAGGTTGGACCTCAAAGAGTTTTGAAGGCGTGTTGGCTGTTAATAGAAACAATGGTCTCAAACGGCGCTCGAACCTAAATATGAGATTATATGGTGTTTATATAAGCACCACTTTTGAAGAGAGGCCGTATAGGCACGTACAGGCACATAAACACAAACTCCAAATATAGGCATGTATAGGCACTATAAAAATGGCAGCATATCCACGGAGTGAATGATGGAGAGTGGGGCGAAGTATCCGTCCGTTCCATTCGTTCTTGCTTCCGTCCGTCCATGCGCCCGTCTGTGTGACCGTCCATGCGTCCATCCGCTCGTCCGTGCGTGCATCTGTTCGTGCGTTCACACATCCATCCATGCGTCCGTCCCTGCGTTCTTCCATGCATCCGCCCCTGCGTCCGTCCATGCGTCCATCCATCCGTGCAGCCATCTGTGCGTCCGTCCATGCATCTGTCTGTGTGTCCGTTTGACCATCTAGTCAACACTCCAAGTACCACTATCTCGTATCTTTTCATCATACATTCCGCATATAGAAGCACCACCATCCAGCGGACATTCCAAGGACTAAACGATAGGTGGCACACGCGCACTTTCTTACGGCTTGCGCTTCGTGTCTACTTCCCACCTTTAATCACTTCGAGTTCATGGTCTATACTAGTTCACTGTATTCATGGCACTGCGGCCCAGCGTTCGCTAAACCTTTCTAAAACCAAAAAAGGTTACGCCCAGCGAGTATAGCGTAGCAACCTTTTCTTGTCAGGTAGCGCTCAATGTACATGCCAATGTCTGATAATGGGGAATGAGAGACAGGAGCATTCGGCTTTTAGTTAACGCGCACTCTGCGAATTTTTATTGTTCAACATTGCACAGAAAAAATCTCCCACCGGCACCACTTTGCAGGTGGGAGATTTGTTACCACATGTTACGTACTACGACGAGGGATGAACGGGTGCCGCTTTAAGGAGCTTCGCCCCTAAAAGACCTACACATCTCCACGAAGTGAATTATGATGAGTCGGTGAAGCACTGGGGAGTTAGAGCACCCGCGCCCTCGCACATGTAATTGAAGTACAACGTGTGTGTACACTATATACAATATTTTATTGGTCATAAAATGTATGTTGCGTTAAGTTCTTCACTTCGTTTTGCTTTCAATATCGCATTTTTTTGGTTCATGAAATACATACGCAATCGTTCTTTGGTGAAGATTGGCCTAAAACTGGCGAAGACGAGGTCTATGCACGTTTTATTTTAATTAGGTAGTTGTAGAGGCGTGAGATTTTTAGGTACTTCAACCACGCGTGAATGTTCCGTTTCTTGACAAGGCTGAACTTGTGCAAGGGCTTGCTTATCAGCTTTTCGCTTTATGTGTGCTTTGATGGCTGCGTCGTTGGGTATGTTTCCGGGAAGATATTGCAACTGTTTCCTGAACGTCTATCGGGACACTGACCCCTGGACCTTTGATTCGGTACCGGCCATTGCCGTGCATCAAACGCCTGAGGCTCGTGAATGGTAGCCGCAGGGCGATTAATCGCTGCTTTCCGAACACTTGCCCTCGGTCTGGTTTGCTTTCTTCGTCGGCGTCACCTTTCGCGGGCGGGAGCGCGTTCACATGATGATGATGATGATGATGATGATGATCCTTGATACTCTGGCGCACACCCACAAAGGGGGATCGGCCAAGAACCGGGCGGCAGGATCTTAACTAAAAGGCTAATGGTTTTTCAAAGAAAACGTAATTTTGGGCTGAAAAGAAATATAGAAAGAAAAACCGAAAATCAAAAAAGGAGTATATCAGAGCAGGGAGCGATGCAGGCTATCAGATGCGATTTGAGACAGAGGTAATGGTGGGTTTAAAATGATATATATATATCTATATATATATATATATATTGCAAGTATACCTAAATGCTAGAATAGCCCCCAAAGGAATGACACTCTCCATCACCCCTGCCGCCACAAATCTCGACGAAAACAACCAGGCCGCATGGCAAAACGTCCTTCTAGAAGCATCACTCAAGCTAACAGAAATTGCAATCAACCACAGTGAAAAACAAGTAAAGAAACTGACCAACATGACCAACGCCATTCTGCGCGACAACAACCACTTATCAAACGAGGAAATCACCCTACTAACAGAGTTCGAACAGAATAAATACCAAGAGGTCAAGAAAACTAAAATACAGAAACTTAAAAGAGACAATGTTTCCAACCCCACACTACCAGACGCTACACTGTATGACTACAACACATTCACCCACGAGGAAACTCACGGCACAAACAAGAAAACACCTATCAACACTCACTACGACGCTGCGATTATAAACCTATCAGACACGAGTTTGTCAACTGATGAAGTAAAACTATTATCTAAAGGACTAAACTTCTGCCCAACTAGAAAATCTTTCGATGAGTTTCACTTACTCCGAGACCTCGACAACTTCGCTAGAAAATTGAGGCTGCACGAATATTTCTTGGACAAGCCGTCTAACATTCCAAAGACTCCCCGCCACCAAACAAGCGATTGGACACCAAATAGTCATCGAGACAAGTGTCTGGACTTATATATTAACGCGGTCCAGAAGATATATTACAGGAATATCACAGACAGAAGGGAAAGCGGGAAAACATGACAAAATCCGAGAAAAAGAGTATGCAAAACCTAACATCTAGGACTGATATAATAATAAAGCCCGCTGACAAAGGAGGGGCAATTGTAGTCCTAAATACAACCGACTACCTACAAGAAGCATACCGTCAACTAAACGACTTAAAATTCTACGAACGCCTCCCAGGGGACCCGACAGAGAAATACACGCGTATTGTAGCAACAGAACTGAAGAAGCTGTTGGACGAGGGAAGAATAACACGCAGTGAGCACAAATTAATGCGGCCAGTACACCCTCGTCCAGGGCGCTTCTACATACTCCCAAAAATTCATAAACCCGGTAACCCAGGCCGACCAATCATTTCAGGTATAGGCACAGTAACCGAACCCATATCAGGGTACGTAGACAAATTAATAGGCCACATTCCTTGCACTCTCGGGTCGTACGTAAAAGACACCTCACATTTTCTTCGAGATATTGCAGACCTGCGCATTCCGAAACACTCATACTTAGTTACCCTTGATGTGTCTTCACTTTATACAAATATTCCCCACGATGATGGCATAGCGGCATTAAAAAACACATACACAAACCATAGACAACCTGACACCCCAGATTTCTCTGCCATCGCAAGCCTCACAAGACTTGTATTAGAACTGAACTCATTCGAGTTCAACCAAGAGTACTTTCGACAAATCAGCGGCACCGCCATGGGTACCAAACTCGCACCAAACTATGCTAACATTTTCATGGGAAAACTAGAAACCGAATTTTTGTCCCAAACTCCCTTGAAACCACTCCTATACAGGCGGTACATTGACGATATTTTTCTTATTTGGACTCACAGCGAGGATGAACTGCTAAACTTTATCGATACTTACAATACTGTGCATCCAAACATACACTTCACACACACCTACTCACAAGTAACCGTAAATTTCCTTGACGTTACCATAATAATAGAAGATGATAAACTTTCCACAACCCTCTACCGCAAACCAACAGATCGACAACAGTACCTCCATTACCAAAGTGATCATCCACGCCATTGTAAAAACAGCATTCCATACGGCCAGGCCCACCGTTTTAAGCGAATTTGCTCAAAAGACACTGACTTCCACGCGAGCTCACAAAAGCTTAAACTCGTGCTCGAAAAACAGAAATATCCTCCACATGTAATTGATGACGCTATTCAAAAAGCTAGAAAACTTCAGCGTGATGACCTTCTGATGAAGCGGCCACCACAACACAACCTGCAACAGACACACCTATGTTTAACATACAGCACGAATTTCCCCAACGTTAACAAAATCCTTAAACGACATTACAACATACTGGAACAAAGTGAACGTCTAAAACGTGCATTCCCATCGGCTCCTGGCGTCGTTTACCGACGAACACGCAACCTCAAAGACACACTTGTAAACTCCCAAATCAATACTTCAACTTCCGACAGTTCATGCCGACCTTGTCTGAAGCCTCGATGTTTTGTATGCAAAGCGATGCGAGATACAAGCAAGGCAAGCAGCACACAATCCAACTTTTCAATTAACATACGAGGAAATCTAACATGCGATTCCCCTAATGTGGTATATCTACTTGAATGCAACGTGTGCGGCATGCAATACATCGGACAAACGGAAACACCCTTTAGGATTCGCTTCAATAATCACAGAGCCCACGCGAAATCAGCGCCGAATCTACCTCTATCAAAACACCTTAACCTTCCCGGCCACTCCTTCGACAAATTGTCAGTCACACTTTTAGAAACAGGATTTAAATCAAACCGGGAACGTGAACAACGTGAATCATACCTCATACACCGATTTAACACCCTCGAAAAAGGCATAAATGAAAGTCCGGGTACACTTGCAGCAATCAAAGCACTATAATATATACATATGCATTTATATGTGTATATGTACTTATGTATATGCGCATATGTATGTGGGTGTATGTGTGTATATGTAAGTTTATAATTGTAATCATAACAGTTCAAGATTTCGCGGCACTGTGGCGGCGACGAGGACTGGACAACTACAAATATCTTTGCGTGTTTCAGTGAACCACTGTCGTCTATTTCTATTTCTCTGAATAACCGAACAATAGTTGTAAGCCCGACTTGTCGAAGGGTCACCGCATGCACAACTAAAAGCCCCGAACGTGGATTCCCAGAACAAAATGCAATCACTTCAAACGCCCTTTCTCGCCTTTTGGCAACCCTTCCCCGATTTTGGCAACAAAGCCCGACATCCACATACACAACTAAACGCCCCGAACGCGGTTTCCCAGTACAAAATAGCAATCACTTCAAACGTCCTTTCTCGCAGTTTGGAAACCCTTCCCGCATTTCGACAACAAAGCCCGACATATAGAAGGGCCACCCCATACACAATTAAAACCCCCAAACGCGGATTCGCAGAGCAAAATAGCATTCAAAACGACAGACAGCGCCTTAAGAAACATTTTCTCCCGCGCCGACTTCCTGGAGCCTCGGAACGCTGTCCCCGACGCCGAATTAGTGACGGTCTTTAAAAAATAAAAAATAATAATAAAAAAAAGCATTTTTCGCGACACGCAAGCCCTTACCTTAGCCAGGCCCCGTTTACAATAAGGGACCGCCACCAAACTGCACTGAACGCAATACTAAGAAAATACACACTGACGACGCCACTCGCGAAGCACAGTGGAACCTGGAACTTTCTGGATATCCTTTCCTCTCTCGTTTTTCAAACTCTTTCTTTCTTTCTGTTTTTTCGTTCTTTCCCTCTCATTTTTACCCAAAATACTATAAATGTGAGCGCAAACAGAATGTACCATGACTCCTGATGAAGGCCAGACTCTGGCCGAAACTGTCGAATTAAACACTTCCGTTGTTACCGTTCTCTTGGAGGATCTACTTGACTTATATATATATATATATATATATATATATATATATATATATATATATATATATATATATATATATATATATATTTATATATAAATATAGGCATATTAACATGACAATCGCTTTGTTTCAATTATGTATTCAAATACCGCAGAGCAGACGTCCCTGTGGCTATAACCGAATTTAATGCTCCCAAACGACAAAATTACTGCCACATTTAATTCTAATCCCAATTTTTCAAGTGGAGCTACCAGGTATCTTTTCCGCTGATGAGAATATCGGCGACAGAACAAAAAGAAGTGATCTATCGTTTCCATTTCTTCACAAGTCTGACATAAAGGTGACGCCTTTAGACCAACTTTATGCAATAATAATTCAGTTGCGGAGCTATGCCTTCTAAGCACAAAATTTTTGAAAAACATTGGTGTTTATTGTTCTATCATATTAACAAAAATATTTCAGCAATCATTGGGCACGGGTACGCTTCCCCAGAAATGGAAAATAGGAAAGGTGATTCCAGTTTATAAGTGCGGCAATAAAAATATTGCATGTAATTATCGCCCCATTTCTCTAACCAGTAACTGCTGCAAAATACTAGAACATGTCATCTACAGTAATTTGGTTAATTATCTAGAATCCAACTCGTTTTTCGCAGCAGGCCAACACGGTTTTTGCATGTCGTACTCCTGTGAATCCCAAATAATTTACTTTACGAACAAATTACATCAAACTTTAGATAGGTATTCGCATGCTGACTACACACTTTTAGATTTTTCAAAGGCATTCGATAAGGTTTCACACGGGCTACTACTTCACAAACTAAATCAATTAAACATTGACAGAAGTTTGATGACTTGGATCGAATATTTTTTTGACTGACCGTTCACAGTTTGTTGTCGCTAATCAATCTTGCTCTGCATTTAGCCCTGTTTATTCAGGTGTGGCACAAGGATCCGTCCTTGGGACCCTCTTGTTTCTTATTTATAATAATGACTTGCCTTCTTTGTTGAAATTTAATGTCCTTTTGTTTGCTGATGACTCTGTTATTTTCTGTGAAATAACCTCTGATAACGACGCTACCATTTTGCAGTCTGATTTGAACTCTGTCGTTAATTGGTCGAAACCTTGGCTAATGGAACTCAATGCCAACAAATGCAAGACAATGCGTGTTTCCCGTACTAAAACCAACCCATCACATTATTCTCTTAACAATATCCAATTAGAATCAGTTGCTTCCTACAAATACCTTGGCATTCACATTACCACGAACTTAACATGGAACTTTCATATTGAGCATATTTTTAACCAAGCTAACCGCATGTTGGGTTACTTGCGCCGCAATTTTTTTGCAGCTCCCTCATCACTCAAATTATTTGTCTACAAAACATTAGTTCGTTTAAAACTGGAATATGCATGCTCAGTATGGGACCCATGTCACGGAAGACTTATAACTGCACTAGAGCTTGTTCAAAATAATTCTGTTAGATTTGTGCTAGGCAACTACCATCCGGCCACGAGCATTACTAAAATGAAATCTGATTTAGTCCTCCCATCTCTCTCCATTAGGCGTCAAATTTCGCGACTATCTATTTTTCATAAGCTGTATCACCACCTCGTGCTGCGTGGCGAGCTTATACCTAGGCCACACTATCAATCAAGTCGTGTTGACCATGCACGCAAAGTTGGAATTGATATGCGCAAAACGATGCATTGCTTTCATTCCTTCTTGCCCCGGACAAGTCGCGACTGGAATCGCCTTCCTTCTGACACTGCATCCATTATTGACGTCCAACAGTTTCGAAATGTTCTAGCTAACATTTTATAATCAGGAGTTCTTGTAATATTTTTTAATTACATTGTGTTAATTATGTTATTGTATGTTGTATCTTAACGTCTTTGTGCTTTTTTTTTGGTGTTCCTTGCTCTCACACCACTCCCCTCTGTAATACCTTTTGCCCTGAGGGTATCATAAATAAATAAATAAATAAATAAATAAATTTGACGCTCTCTGCAATACATTCTCTCTTCTTTCGCCCCGATGAAGGTTGTGGAAGCTAAGCAGAAAGGAATGGCACGGAGGGGGGGGGGATACGTCACGTACATCTCGTGACATTGAACACTTTCCCTCTCTTCTTTTTTTTTGTTGAATGCGCGGCTTCGCAGTGCCATTATGTGCGCACGCGGGAACACGTGGCCACCTCCCGCGGCGGCCCCAGTAACGATCGAGCGCGCCATGTTCAAAACAGCCAATGGCCGTTACTCGGCCTGGTACGCAGTGGCTTTCATTCTGTAGCTTCTTTCGTAAAAAAAAATAGGAAGTGATTTTCGCCTACTTTTGAAAATTTATTGTATATTGGAGGCTACGTGCTGCGCTATAATAGTTGGCTCACGTGTTCTTGGGTGCCTCAACTACTGATCGGCAGCGTTTTTAGGCAATGCTCGAAGAGTGTTGCAGGGCACCTTTAACCACTTGACGCACTTGCTGATGTTTCGCTTGTCTGTTATAAAGACATATAAAACACATGAGTAATGCGTGAAAGACGAAAACACAACGTTGTATTCTGTAATTTGATGAAATGGGAGGTTAACACGGAAAGCCCTAGCAACATGCTTGGAAATTTCACTTCAAGTGCATAAATAACGCGAGGCGCCTTACGCATTCGCTTAGAAAACATCGAAGGTGAAAGCTTGTTTTTTTTTTCCTTTTCATCTTGCTTTTCTTCCCAGTCCATTGTGTTGGTCCATTCACCCTCTAGACAGCACCCAACATGGTGTTGCATTGTTTCCAGGATCGGCCCTCCTATGACCAATCAACGTCGTGAAGACGTCGCACATTTTTGCGCCGTGATAACTCATTATTAACGTCTCAAACTTTAGGGATTAGTTATCATGATCAATTCATATAGGTTTCCACCACCTGATGAATATTTTTTTTCACCACTTGGTTCGGTCGATGACGGTCACATTTAGCATTCGATGGGCATCTGAAGCTTTCACCATTATAAGGTTTGTAGTAGTCGGAATTACGATAGATATGTTAGGCTGGCACACAATGACATCAAAGCAGCGTCTACCTTGTGCAATATAAGCTCGCACACGCAGATACTAATGAATCAGACTGACCAAAGAGACACTTAACCTATTTCTACCTCTTAACTCCTGTACGATTGGTGGCACCTAACTTTTTACCTGTTACACAAAGTCATGCTCCTTAAGTCTAACCCGGGTCCTCGCAGCTCCTAAGCCAGCGCACGGGCACAGCCCGCGGCACAGCCGCCGAGGGCTACGTGTTCGCCGAGAACAAGCGCCTGTGGGAGCACATCCAGCGGTTCGGCGTGCCCACCCTGGAGGACGGACTCGAGTCCCTCCGGTCGGGCGCACTCGACGTGCTCATCGGCGATACGGCGGTGCTCAACTACTACCGGGCCAACGAGCCCAGCTGCCGGTTGCGGCTGCTGGGCGACTCCATCTTCGACGACGCCTACGCCGTGGGCATGACCCGCGGCTTCCCTCTCGCTCAAGGGATCTCCGAGCTGGTACTGCGCTACAACGCGCTCGGCTACCTCGACCAGCTCCACAGCAAGTGGTATGGCCGCGCGCCCTGTTTGCAGGTGGGTGACTAAGTTAACTACTCACGCGAGGCGCGTCGTGGCAACACCCTCAACCCTCCGGAAGGGTGCTATTTAAGTTATTTGACTTGTTTTCCTGCGGTTATTAGACATATGGGGCAAATGCATGCAAAAAATTTATAAGCTTCATGTAGATTTCTGAAGGAGCCATGCGGAATTATCGGAATGGCGGGTGGAATGTTCTATTTGGGAACAGAGCATATTTACCTGCTTGAAGTGCCCTTTCGCTGCATCCATAGAAGATCGTTGTTTTGTCGGAGCTGGTTACTTTACAACATGCAGACTTTAATGACATTTACGACAAGCGTCAACAAGACAGAGAAAACTTGTTATAAGATTAGCTCCACGTGCTTGTGCAAACCTTTGGCAGCTAGATTTGGACCACTGCCTTCAATGTTCCAAATTCACTAAGCAATAATAGTACAACAAATATTACAGCATGTTATGAACCAACAGTGAAGATAATTCAAGACGGAATGAATAGCTACACTTGGAGAGGTGCACACAGCACTTAGTGCCGTTTTTGTGTGGTGCTGAGTGTTTCTTGTGTTTTCGATTTTCGTCCGAGAGGCGCCAAACGCGCATGACATTCAAGGCACACCGATAAGCCCATTGCGCGACCTTTTGTATTCAATGCTGTATTATGAAATATGGTAATCGCATAGGCCTATGCGAATAAATATTTCAAGATAATGTGTGATTTAGGTGTTTCATAAGCTTTTTCAGGACCTTTACATATCGTGATTACAAATTGCCGAACGTAAAAATTGAATTCGGTTCAAGTGTGAAGTGTGGCATTTTTTTCCCAAAAGAGTGCTAATGATGCCGACTCTGCAAATTATATACGGAAAGCACTTATGTTGCTCACTGCCAAAACAATAAGCTATACATGATTGCGTGACTGAGGCAGCGCTAGAGACGAAGACAAAAACGTGTACACAGAACGAGTGCTATACCTATGAAACTACTGTACCTCTAGAAAGGCAGGATGCCAATTCGCGCATTTACATGCATGTATAAATGTTTTCCCTTTTAGACTCAGTTTTTTTTTTTGAATTCATGGCCTGCCCTTGGGAACACCGTGTTAGAAATTCGTGCTTCATGATTGCCAGAAAGCATCATGTACATCAGTGCAAATATTTTAGGTATGGTTACGTGCGCTGTGTTCAGGATTAAGCAGGAATGGCGGCTTCATTCTTGTAGTGGTATGCTGGCTTTTGCCTTGCCATTGTCATTATTTCCATTAAGGGAGACAATCCCCGGGCTGATTCCAAGGTCTGCTGATTCGGCCCCCCCGAAAAGCCCCACGAAAGAACGGACAATTTAGTGTTGGCCCCTTTAGTGTGCAAGCAAACGCCGGTTGAGTTCCAACGATTGAGTCAAAACCGAGAGTTGATAATGTAACCAAATATATTCTCAGAAAATACAGTGCACCAATACACATACATGCACACTCGGCAGTTATCGACATCACCATACAACTCGTAAGGTACTCTGACTCATACAAGACAATGGGCAGAAACAACAACTCGTGCTACAATGCAATCTCACCCAATAACTATCCAAGAATATTCAAAGACTAGAATGTTCATCAAACATATTCAGTCCAAAGTTCTTGGAACCAAGCTTGAATGCTTCTCTTCCAGAAAACACTCACACAAAGTCCAGTGCTTGTTCTCGTCCAGCTGCGTACGAGGTTTCTTTTTCACGAAGTGCTCTCGTCGGCACTCGACTCTGCCATATCGACTGAATGCACTTCAGAAACAAAACTTCTTCGCCTGCATCAGCATCGGCCACTCACACACTGTCGCTGTATGACAAACCTTCACACACTGGTATAATCGCACACTGACTTCATCTCCTCATCGCCTTCTTCCACCACTTGCTTATATCCGCTCGCTACGGTACTCTCGAAGCTTCGAGGCTTTTTCTGGGCACGAAGCACAACCAAATATAAAGAAAGGGCGAGATCTTTCTCGTAGTTCCGAGCCCCGTGACGCAACTCGGCAGTGCGTGCCTCTTTCCGTGAAATGGTTCTAGAATTTGCTTGGCGTTCAATCCGAGACTTCTGTCGGCAGGCGATGGCCTTTTCAAGAAGGAGAGGAGGTGCAAGCTTTCGTTAAGAGCTGTAAGGATCCAGAACTTAATACGACACAAAGAAGCGATGCTCATGCCATGGTGACTCTTAAAGTAAGACTTACTACAGCTATAGACCAGTTTACAGATTAGCCTCTCCACGACCACAAAGGCGGTTAACGTTGCGTTCTTCCGTCTTGTAACAACAACACAAACACTAATGCTGGACGCATACACATGAAAACTGCTGGGCTGGTGCATCCGATGTTTCGTGCTCTTGTAAACAGACGTTCACCCCTGGGAAGTTAAGAAAACATTCATTTACAGCCCAAAATGGCAACGCCTGAGAGTCCAACATACAATCAGGCGCTTACATGAGAAGTTGTGTTGCTTTCTCCGTAGAAAAGTTTGATTATTAAGGTCTTTAGCGTAGCCTGCACGTGCTCTTTTCTCCGGTTTGTTATTAACCATCGCGCGGACGAAAGCCACACACGGTGTTAGATGAAAGCAGCAAGTGTCTGCAATTGTCGTGCTGCTGTTACTGCTTACAATATTTCCCTCAAAAAAGGCAGGATGGAGTAATAACGCTTTCTACGCTGCGATGCAGGATGGCCTGCTGCAGCGGCTGGACAAGCCACTTCCGTTGGGCGTCCGCGCAGTGGCCGGCCTGTTCCTGATGCTTCTGGTCGGTCTGCTGGCCGGCTCGCTCGTTCTTATCATCGAGCACCTCGTCTTCCGCTACGCTCTGCCGGGCCTCAGGGCCCGCTCGCGAAACTGCTTCTGGAAGAGCCCCAACCTCATGTTTTTCAGCCAGGTATACGAATTCACATAGCGTAATTTATTGGACGTCCTATTCTACCATCGCAAAATCTCGCGACAGATGACATGACAAATGGCGTTCGGTGTCGTACGGCTCGAAGAAGTGGCTTTTTAAATACAAATGTGAACTTCTGTTTTGTTCACACTTATCATATATTACAGTTTATATTTATCGATGTTATAGGTCTACCATTTTGTTGTTGATAGTATAGCACAAATTATTAGGCGAAAATGGAAGTATGGAGTTGAAATTTTCTAGAGAAATAATGTCGAAGCAAAAAGAAAAATTATGCCGAGAAGAGCAGTGGGTAATGGCAAATCTGAAATACTTCAGTACTCTAAAAACTGCAGAAAGTGCTTGTTTTGGTAGAGAGAGGGAAAGGTAAAACTAGAATTTTTCTTCTTGCTGGGGTCAACAGAGGTGGGGCCTGTAGACTAGCTCTACCGGAGTTCTCATTCCTTGGGTGGTGACCAGACCTTTGGTCTATGCGACGTCTTTGGCCAGCCTGACGGCCCAGGGTTGGTTGTACTGCACATGCTGAGCAGCATAGCTTCCCAATGCTCTGACGCACCCTAAATCTAAAGTTGGCGGTGTGGTTGATGATGGGCAGCGCTGTTCCTGGTGGACCTCCACTCTGGAATTAGCATCCATTTATGCTACCTTTCCGCAATTATCTTGCCTCGACATGCCTTGCTTACGTTGGCAATGAATCTTGTCCGAACCAAGGATGATTAGTGCGTGCATGACCGTTTTCTATCATATATCTGTCGATGATATTTAGCAACTTTTTTTCTTTTCAGAAACTTTACCGTTTTATCAACACGGTGGAGCTGGTATCCCCCCACCACTCGGCCAAAGAGATTGTGACCAACCTTCGAGAAGGCCAAATCGCCAGTCTGTTCCAGAAGAGCGTTAAGCGAGTACGTCTCTTTTTCACTAGTGATTTTCCTATATGCTGCTTCGATCTTACACATTCACAAGAGCTCCAGTGTATATAAACAAATGTGCACATTAAAAAATCCCTTGTGGACACAGTTATCCCGGGTTCCTGTACACATATGGCTTATTTTACAATGATGCCACGCTTTTGGTACATAAAGCATCAAAAAATATTTACACATCTTCTTGAAAATCTTGTGTGTCACGGAATTCATCGTGCTGCTCTATAATTTTCTTCAAGCTTGGTGCGCATGTTTTTTTTCTAATTTATTTTATATCTCTCTATAGCTATCCTCTTTCCGACCCTTTTCCCCACCCCCGTACAGGGTAGCAAACCAGTTCGTCTAGATTAACTTCCCTGTCTCTTTCTTTTAATTATTTCTCTCTCTCTCTCTTGTGGAAAGTAAATCTTTCTTAAACTTTTAATTACCAATAATTTCTTTGTGAACTTCGGCGACTTTGAGTGTATCTATCTATCTATCTAGCCGCCTATGACTTTTAGCTCTCCTGGCCGTTTAGATATTGATATCCATACCAAACATGGTATGGCAAAACATCAATCTATGAAGAACATATTTGAATAGTAATAACATGAAAATCATGACAAGCATGTCATGAATGTCATGATTTGCATTTCATAATTCTGCAGCTCTTGCGGTTATATCGTTTACATGGCATGTTGCAAAACTGGTATTGTATGACATGATTGCATGGCGAACACAAGAGGCAGACCCCAACATAAAAATCATTACATCCGTGTCATGTAACAACATGACTACGTGCCACGCTTATGATACGCTCGCGGCCGTTTCGCTAGCGTCACATATACAAAATTTGGTATTACGGTACGTGAATAAATGACAAAGGTATGTGACTGGTGCAAACATGATAATCATGGGATGCGTGTCATGTAACAACATGACTACATGCCACGCTCATGATGCGCTGGTGGCCGTTTCGCTAGCTTCAATTACACAATATTGGGTATTACGGGACGCGAATGGATGACGAAGGTATGATACTCGTGCAAACATGATAAAAATGAGATGTGTGTCATGCAACAACATGACTACCTGCTACGCTAACGATATGTCGTGGCCGTTTCACTAGCTTCACATGTACCAAACTCGGTATTACGCGACGCGAGCGGACGACATGGGTATATGACATATACAAACATGATAATCACGACTTGCGTGTCATGTAACAACATGACTACATGCCACACTCATGATGCACTCGCGGCCGTTTCGCTAACTCCGCATATAGTAAATTTCGTGTTACGTGACGTCAATGGATGACGAAAGCATATAACTGTTGCAAACATAATATAATAATAATCCTGAAAAGCGTGTCGCAATCCTGAAAAGCGTGTCATGTAAAGACATGACAACATACTACGCTCACAGCGTGCTCGCGGCCGTTTCGTAAGCTCCACATATACTAAATTTGATATGACGTGACGTGAATAGGTGACAAGGGTAAATGACATATCCAAACATGATAATCACTACAGGAAGGACATGTGCGACGTCATTTACTTCAACCTCGTAACATTGTGCTGATTTGAAAGTGACATATCAACCTTTCCCATCTATGCCTCGCATATTATCGATTCCTACTGTGCGTGGAATCTGCCAATTTTTTGTGTCAGAGAATTCATCAAGCAACTCTACCAGAGTCCTCCAGTTCTCACATACTCTAAACGTATTGAATGACTCTGATAACACTACTATCGAAGAGAACAGCATAAAGTAAACGAACTGAGATGGCTCGTTTGAAATCGAAACCAAGTGATCTCGTACATATTCTGCACCTGAAGAGTAGTGATAGTTTGTACATGTTTACGTTCTGCATAACTGTATGGTCCGCATTCGGGACATTATTGCGCGGTTATAAAATGCATTTTTTTGTAATAACATTTTGTAATGTTGCTAGAGGATAGTATAATTGAGCGTTAGTGTTAAAATCAGCTAGTGTTCAAGACAAAAGTAGTCACCTGAATAGCCTTCGCCATGTCCCGTTGACGGCCCATGTGATAAAGATAGCGTTTCGAAGCCACTGTCAGTTTAACAGTCTTTCCATGCGTAAAAGAAGTCTACAGTTTTCATCTGGGCACTTGTTAAAAACTCTTCTGAGCACTAGCACACCTCGGCTTTATCATTTTCGCTTAGTTGTGCAAGAAACGAAGAAATGAACAAGTAAATACATGATGCGTGGACACAGAAATGAAAACCATGATTCAATGCTGATAAAATACTTTCATTTCAGAAAATCAAGGAGGAGGCTCGCCGTAGGAAGAGCAAGTCCCAGTTCTTTGAGATGATCCAGGAAGTGCGTCGAGCGTGAGTAGTTCCTCTGAATGCTGCTCTTTTTTCCGCAGCTGCTGAAGTTCAGAAAAAAGGATAAAAAAGGCAAAGACAGCTTCGAACGGGGGGTTGTGAAACCTGAAGTAAGTGAAAAGCTTGCCAAGCTTCTTCCTTTCTATTCGGCTTTTTTTTTTGCTTTTATCTTCTCACTCTTCCATTTTCTTTTTTCTTTTGTTTATTATCTTTTTCTCTCTTTAATTCTATTTATTTTTTCTCTCTTTCTAATTCTCATCCCCATCATCTTTTTTATTATTACACATGCTTCTCCTGCGTTACGCCAAGCGACGACAGCGTACGATGACAGCATAAGACAGTATACGACAACATCGATGACAGTATAAGACAGCATACGACAACGTGCGATGACAGCATACGACAACATGCCATGACAGCATGCGACAGTATACGACAGCATACGACAACATACGATGACAGCATACGGCAGTGTACGACAACGTACGATGACAGCATGTGACAGCATTCGATAACATGCGATGACAGCATGCGACAGCATTCGACAACATGCGATGACAGCATACGGCAGCATTCGGCAATATGCGATGACAGCGTACGACAATATGCGATGACAGCATATGACAACATGTGACAGGATACGACAGCCCGGTCCTCTAATGTACACCGCACTTGAAACAGTAAAAAGTAATAATAAAGCGAAATGCTTGCGCTTTATTGCAGTGCGTCATGTCGCTGCCATGGCTGCACAATTTTGCAGTAACCGTAAAAAGTACCTAGTCGGCATACTGAGTGGCGTGGAGTGACCTTGGTTTGGAATTACGCCGTTTCTGTGACAGCCTTATCGACAACATGTTAGGCTGTTTTTATTTACTTACATTGTTAGGTAGTGATGGCTCGTGAAGTAACGTGATATGAAAGCCTATATGAAATTTAAAAGGACGACGGAAACTAGGATGAGATCACCGATGTCTCTTTATTCGAAATTTGATCACCTGGGTTATTTCTTTTACTCCTATTAAATAGGTGAAGTCATTACTGCATTGCAGAGAATGCACATGCACACCTAGATCATTTTTTATTTTATTTATGGTTTTTTTAAATATTTGCGTTTATATTGTTTCGTCACGATATGTGTGTGTGTTACTGTGTCTGTATTAGTGCGCGCACATAAATGCTGAACTGAAACCGACAAGCCAGATATATAGATAGATAGATGTATAGACAGATAGATAGATGGATAGATAGTTAGATAGATAGATAGATAGATAGATAGATAGATAGATAGATAGATAGATAGATTAGATATATTGTAAGAATTCATTGGACGTCATCTTCCTCATCTGTCAATAACCATCATCAGTCTTCCCCCGTTCTTCTTCATCATCGGCGACATCTTGCTGTTGCTTGAATAAAACGTCAGCTGAACCGTTGTATTTCAAGTGGTGGAAGGTGCTTCCCGATCTCTTCGACCTCTCTCCATTCAAAGCCAACTCCTGGAGCTCCGTTCGGGACGTCGCTTACGCCAGCAGAGCACTATGGCACAAGAGCAAGCCCAACCGAAGCACCCGCCAGCGCAACCACCAGCCGCCAACCGTAGCCCGGTCAACAACCCCCCTAGAGAGCCTCCAATCTTCTCCGATCTGCCTGGCGAAGATGTCGAAGACTGGCTTGACAACTATGACCATGTAGGTGTCTACAACAACTAGAACGAGGCATCGAAATTAGCACGCGTCCAGTTTTACGTCTCTCAGGTTGCCAAGGCGTGGTTCCTGAATCGTGAGAGTGACTTCCGCGATTGGTCTTCTTTCAAAGACCAGCTCCGACGCATTTTCGGCACACCGACCGTCCGTTCACAATTTGCTCGCAAGAAACTGGCAGAACGCGTTCAACATTGCGGTGAGTCCTACACTTCCTATATTGAGGATGTGCTTGCACTTTGCCGCCGTATCGACGACACCATGCCAGAAGGTGATCGTGTCCGGCACCTTCTGAAGGGTATCGGACCTACCGCTTTCAACGCCCTCGTCGCGCACAACCCTTCGATGGTTTCCGACGTCGTCTCTGCATGCCAGCGTCTTGATACCTTGCAGTCAATCCGCCTGCAACCCGACTTCTCTGAGAACCCCCTGGCAAACAGCATGGAGCTGCGAGTCATCATTCGAGCCGTAATTCGTGAGGAATTGCAAGCCTACAGTTTACCTCCTTCTAACAACGTTCCCGCTCAACCCGCCTCTAGCGAACTGCGTGGCATTATTAGGGAAGAAATGTCAGCGTTTCGAAGCAGACACCGTGCTACACCATGCCGCCAACCCGCTTCGTATGCACAGATCGCTTCAATGCCACCCTCGCCGTCTCAAGTACCACCACCTGTGCCTGATCATGAACAACTCGCACCTCTAGTCGCCCGTCCACCGAACCCAACCTACCATTCTTCCTGGCGGGTCCCACGGCCCATTTGCTACTACTGTGGAATTCGAGGACACATTTCCCGGGTCTGTCAACGTCGGCAGCAAGATGAACGTCGTGGGTATGCCGCTTTTGAACGAGACGACACATGTGCTCGAGGTTACTACCTTTATGCCGACAGTCGTTCCAACCAACCGATCACCGTCTCCTGTGTGCATTTCTAACACGACCAACAATACACGTGCATCCCGACCACGCTCCCCATCGCCACTCCGACGCTCTGTTTCACCACTTCGGCCTGTCTCTCAACTTGCTGCCCAACGATCGGAAAACTAAACAGTGCAGTTTTTGGAGGGAAAACTGCATCGCGGAGAAATGACCCAAGTCTTCCTAAATGACCGTCAAACATGTTATTGGTAACTGTGCAAGGTGTGGGGGTGTTGGCTTTGGTGGACACGGGAGCAACTATTTCAGTTATGCGTGCCGACTTGTGTTCTCCATTGCGGAAAGTGAAGACACCCTACTTTGGATTATCTTTCATTGGGGCCAATGGAGCAATAATTAGATCATCGGCCCAATGTACAGCGCGTGTCTTCATTGATGGTATTCGTCATCACATCACCTACGCTGTCTTAATTTCATGTGCTTATGAACTAATTTTAGATTGGAACTTTCTCTCATCAACATCTGCATTAATTTCTTGCCGTCAACGTGTAGTCGAAATGACCGAGACCGATCACTGCAGCGAACGCATCGACGAAAAACCATTGCATTTCTTCACAGCTTCCGAATCCATACTGCTCCCGGGTCAGGAGCGACTCATCACCATCACTTCTCCGAATATTGCTAACGGTGACGTCTTTATCACCCCTTCCAGCTGTCTAGCTCGCGGCGTAGTAGTCCCCTCCAGCCTGGTGCGGTTCAAATACAGTGCTGCGATAATCCTTGGCCTGAACCCTACCCCAGAGCCTGTCCTCATACCCCAAGGTTCTGCAGTGTCATGTTGTGTCGATACCCAACTGGTATCTTTGGTCTCTCTTGACGCCTTGACAGCTCAGCCACAACAGGACCAGTCTGTTACTTCCTCCTCCTTTGTTCCCGAGATAAATCCTGGCCTTTCTGCTTCTCAACGTGAGGCGTTGCTAAATTTGCTAACGAAACACCAGGCCTCCTTCGACGCCAATGCTTCGGGACTAGGACAGACCACAGTTGCACATCATCGCATCGACACTTACGGTCAAACTGTTGTACGCCGTCGTCCCTACCGAGTCTCCTTGGCCGAGCGCAAAATCATCGAGGATAACGTGACCGATATGCTAAAAAGAAACATCATACGACCCTCTACCTGTTCTTGGTCATCAACCGTTGTGTTGGTACAAAAGAAGGATGGATCGGTACGATTTTGTGTTGATTACCGCGCGCTCAACAAGATTACCCGAAAGGATGTATATCCGATGCCCCGTATAGATGATGCACTTGACTCATTGCAAGGCGCCCAATACTTCTCCACCCTAGACCTTCGGTCCGGGTATTGGCAAATAGCGATGGACGAAGCAGACAAAGAAAAGACCGCTTTTTCTACGCCGGACGGTGTTTACGAGTTTAACGTAATGCCATTCGGCCTATGTAATGCTCCCGCCACATTTGAAAGGATGATCGACACTGTTCTTCGTGGCCTCAAGTGGAAAACTTGTCTATGCTACCTCGATAATATAGTCGTGTTTTCTTCCACTTTTGCTGATCATCTGCAACGCCTAGGTTAAGTGCTCACATGTCTCTGCAATGCTGGACTTCAACTAAACCCTAAGAAGTGCCATTTTCGCAACACAGCTATAAAAGTTCTAGGGCATCTCGTTAGTAAAGATGGCATCTAGCCCGATCCGGACAAATATTCTGCAGTCCTCAACTTTCCGCGACCCTTTCGCACCAAAGAACTACGCAGTTTCCTTGGACTCGCATTGTACTTTCGCCGCTTCATTCACAACTTTGCCACTATTGCCGCTCCTCTCCACAAGCTCCTTCCCAGTACCGGTTCCTTCGATTGGAATGATCAATGCGAAGCCTCATTTCATGAACTCAAGCAGGCACTGACATCCCCACCGGTGCTTGGTTATTTCGATGACAGGGCAACTACGACATTACACACTGACGCTAGTGGACAAGAAATCGGCGCCGTACTCCTCCAGCGCGACCGACCATGCCTTTCGCGAGAAATTTATCGCGTATGCAAGCCGCACTCTGACCTCTGCAGAGAAGAGGTACTCGATAACCGAACAAGAGTGCTTGGCTATTGTCTGGTCCATCCAAAAATTTCGTCCGTACCTACATGGTCGACATTTTACTGTTTTGACAGACCACCATGCTCTTTGCTGGTTGTCCACAATCAAAAACTTGTCGGGACGACTTGGCCGCTGGATTCTCCGATTACATTCTTATGACTTTGACGACATCTACAAGACCGGAAGACAACATCAAGATGCCTACGCTTTGTCACGATGCCCTTTGCCGCAGTTTTCGGCGCACATCACATCCCCTTGTCAAATTGGCTATACGGAGAACGCCTCGTCGATATCAGCCATTTCTACCCTACCTTC